TATCCATGATCTTCCTTGCTTTCCTGAGCTGAACAAGCCACATGCTATTTATGAAGAACTTCCTCCAAAATGAGAAGACTTGAGGTTTTCCAATTAGGTCAGATTGCTATTCTTGGTGACTCTCACAGTCGTGTTATTTGTATTTTGTACATCAGAGGGATAATACATCCATTTGCTTTCAAGGCAAACGTTACTAGAAAAGGAGCAGCTTTGATCTTCTTCCAATAGACACGCTGAAACAGCTTCTAAATAAAGGAGTTATAAATATGCATGTGCATACGTTCTTTTAGGGATTATTTGCCAAGGATTTACACAACTTCAGTTGAAAGAATGAAACAAATCAGTTGTGTTTTCGAACTAATAACTGGAAAGGACAGCAAGAATCTGCAAGCCTGAGCTGTGCCGTGCCAACTGCTTTCTCCGGGAACATCAGAGTCCATTTCTAGCAAATAAATGGACAGGAGCTGCAGTAATAAATAAGCCTACTTTGGAAAAGTTATATTTTGACTCATGCTCAGAGAAAGAGGTTACATAACACATGAAATACTCTTCATGCTTCTCTATTTTAAAAAAAAGAAGCTATGTGTCCAAATTTATACTTCCATCTAACACAGGCACATGTGCTCAGACACACTACAGAGCTCTACAGAGTGATGTCTTTGGAGTTTGCAGGGTGATCTGTCAAGAACAAACCAGGTGCACAGAAACCACTGCATTGCTGCTGTAGGAGTGGCCGTGGGCGATGTTGTCCTTCTGGAAATTATAAATGTGTCTGTGTTGACATTTTTAACATTTTGTCTGAGTAAGCCACAGAGAGCTGAAATGACTCCGCAGATCACTTCAGTATGCTAAACATAACAACCGTGAGTCAGGTTTGAAACTGCCTTTTAAGGCCAATAAATAAGACAGCATTGACTTGTGCAAGGAATGCGGCTAATAGTGGCTTTTGAATTGAACCTCAGATAATGAAAAGAGGCTGAAGCTGCATTGTGATTCATTGAGGTCACGCCATGTGCTGATTTAGCTACAAAAACAAAACAAAACAAAACAAAAAATAAGAGAAAGGTTGTTTACATTAACGTCTGGTTATGACTGAAAATACACGGGGGTTTCCACTGGACAGGAAATGATGTCGTCAGCCAGCCATGCATGCAAGCTCGCTTAAGCGCGGCATTACAGAAGCAAAGTTCAGCTCTTTCTGTTCCTGGTTGCCCAAACCGAATCTGTACTGCAGGCCACTGAAACTACCTTCTGTTGAAAAAAATGGATGTGAAAACAATGCTGTTCATTTACATTTTTCTGTGGGGATTTTTTCTTGTTTTGTTGTTTTTTTTAATTCTTCCACTTTCCCATCTCAGCACAGTGGGGTTTTTTTTTTTTTGTTTTAACCCAAGCTGTCTGAGTCCCAAAAAGCCCGGCAGATTAAGAGGATATGTTACCATCTTGAGTTTTTTTTCTAAATGGATACACATGTGGCACATCTGGGTCCAAGCCTGACTCATTACTCACTTTTTTTTATGTCCCATTCTCTGCAGCCATGGCAACTGCTGCATGTTTGGCAGAAAGCTTTTGAAGGCAGTGGAAAAAGAGAGAGAGGGAGCATAAAGGGAGAGCTAGAGATAGAGCGAGAGAGGGAGAGTAGCTCTCAGTAGTTGGCCTACATCCAGTGTAATCATGCCATGGAGCTGAAATGAGGCCTTTGGCAGCACACCAGGTTTCTGAGAACAAAGATGTGAGCTTCTAATGTTGGCGGTGGGGCCTGCTTGGCATCCTCTGCCATTTCCCAGCAGCCCTTGCCTTGGCTGACTGCCAGCCCCCCCTCCCCTCTCCTCCCCTCCCCTTGCTAGGACTGCAAAGAGGATCAGAATAAAGAGAGAGACTTGTTTTTCACTCGCTTCTTGCTCCGGCCCAATGACATCACCTCTGCAGCCTCCAGCCCCCAGATTCCAGCCGCCCAGCACATTTTTTTCCCCCTTTCGACCCTCCATTTTATTTGAATTCCACCATTTTATACCTGACTTTAAAAATCCCATAATTTGTTTGTTTGTAATTGCCATGTGCCGCACACACGGCTTCTCCGCTCTAAACACAAGCGAACACGATGAGGAACGAATCTGCACGGAAAAAAAAAAAAAAATCAAAACATACTCAAACTAACGCTAATAAGGGAGGTGAGGCGGCAGATGGATGCTCATTAGCTTTCAGAGCTCTGCAGATCTTTTTCCTTTTTTTTTTAAATAATCAGCCCTTTAATCCTTGCTGTGCAAAAGTGTGGCTAAAAATAGCACCGTAAACAGGATATATATGGTAGCTGGGGGTAGCCTACTGTGATAATCTCTATGGTTACCTCTTCCTCTTCCAAGCTCCAGGAGCTCTGCAGAGCATGCACGTTAAAGTCCTTACATTGACTCTTTATACTTAGCAGCTTTTGCCAGTTAAATCTTCAAGACAGGGTCACGACCACAGCTGCTTAACTCGCACTATCCTGTTGTAACCTCCCTTTGTGTCGGTGCAACATGTTACAGTTTTGTTTGATGCTCGCCTCAGCAGTTCTTCTAAAAAGGTTATATAACATAAAATGTTGGCAGTGAGGACGACACAAGAGGAAAAAAAAATCCAGTGCTTGCGCTCTGCTTAGGCAGAAGACTTCACAGAGAATCTGTAATGTTTCGCTGGCATAAATAAAAGATCTCCAATATAAAATTTAACAGTCTCGGAGAGCGATGAGACGCAAATATCATCATCTCACCAGCCCCGCGATGCTGTCACATGCTGGGTATTCCCCTGGCCGTCACCTACCTCGCACTCTTTATTTAGCCTCCTCACGTCTCAATTTACATACTCATGAAAAAAAAAAAGAAGTTCAAAACTGCTTTATACAGCTTTATACACCCTGCCACTGCCCAGGTGACACTGTGGTGATTTTCACTGTATGTACACGATTCATATTGGCCAGTCAGAACAATCTGTGCATGTCTGGCTTCCTCTCAGACCTTTGCTGCCTCTGTTCAGTACAGCTCTGCCTTTGCTTCATAGCACACTGCAGCATTTTATTTTTCAAATCAGTAGATCTACTTATTATAGAATCAGGTCATTTAGGATTTAATTGAATCACAGCATGCCTCTGTCTTGCATAATAGCTATTTGGCCGTGCAGCTATTTGCTTGCACAAACATCGACTGAGTGGAAACCAAAGGATCAAAGCATTAGGCAACAATTTTCCCACCAATCTGAAGAAAGGAAAGAATTTGTTTAGTTTGTCCCTCACAACAGCCGTTTCCTAACTATGTCATAAAGCCGAACAACACTTCCTAGTGTTGTCCATCCAAAACGGGACTGAGTTTTGAGAGAAAGCGGCGATGGGAAGCAGTGGGACAATGCAGTGTTAACAGAGAAGGTGGGGTGGAGGGGGGGGGGTTAAACTTTCTTTAAATATCCTCTTTCACTGCAAAATGTCCTCATTCACATAGCGGCAGCTTTACGGGAATAACAAAACAATATGGCAACGTACTTGGCGGTAACACATGAGCATACGTGTCTTGTTTTGTTTCTGGTAATCCTTTGAAGAAAACGCCACAGCGCAGGATCACGGTGGCAGGCAGGGAGCCAGAATAGCCTGATGTTCTGTCGAAGGGTGAGGCGGATGAGGGTACGTGACTAAACATCTTGCTTCCTCTTTTCCAACGTCACATGGACTTGCACAAACATATCCTGCTTTGTGTCTGCAGGTTTCAGACGCATTGCCTCACCCAAAGCCTGAGGCTAAGCTGCAATGAGTTGGAATGAGACCAGATGAGAGGGAGGAATGAACTACTGGGACAACTCCTCCACTTCAAAAAGCCTCTCCACTTTTACTTCAGGGGATTTTGGCTGAGGTTATGCCACATGACCTGTTTCTAATAACATTTCTTTCTTTTTGCCTTTCTGTAAAACATGCCACACTAGAGTGGAGTCATTAATCTTGTTAAATCTTTCATACTAATATCTGTTGAGCTGCTTTGACTGCTAAAGTTGCTTGAAATGAGTCTGAATCGCTAATTCACTCCAGTGCCATTTCATTTCATTTCAGCAGTGGCAGATTTGGACTGCTCCGTGCACAAGAATATTAAAAAAAAAAATATATATATATATGTATGTGGGCACAGCTACAGCAGGCTATATTCATGCTGTAACCCCAATCCATTCAAGTTCACAACACACTGGCTGGAAATCCCCACCTCATGACTGAGCTTCCTGGTTACTGGCTGGTGGAGGCGCCTTTTTTTCTTCTTCTTCTCCTCTCCCTCTCTCATTCTTTTCTTTAAACATTAACAAGCCAGGAAAATATTATCTAATCATAACTAAAAGGCTAACAGTGTACATCCTGAATTCACCCTGGTGAGCTGGCACAAATAAAAGAGAGAAAATGCGGGCTGTAAAGTCGCTCCAATAAGCCTGTAAATTGTGCCCATGTGCTACAATAACACATTTTTGAGAACCTCTGTATAAATATAAGATCTGCCATTGGATTACAATCGCTGTTTTTCTCAGGGTCGACCCACCTCATTCAGTGCACAGTAGTAGTAGCAGCAGCTCACTGCGTCGAGGCGCGGTGCATTGAGAAAAACAAGCTGCAGCCTGAACCGGATAATGCTCTGAATTTAGGACAAAGCAGCAACCGGAGGAGCTTGAAAGTCGCTTTTTTTTTTATTATCCCCTGGCGGTCTGTTGCTAACCTACAGCCATATTTCTTTTAGCAGCGTGCAGGCTGGTACCGGTGGACCTATTTTTTTTGCAGGTTTGATGATAATAATAACAGTAGCGTGGGTTATTCCGGAGTCGGAGGTGAAGCTGAACTGGGTGCCTTTTTTGTTGGCAGAAGCTCAGGTGATTAAGTTAAAATATTAAAAAAGGGAGAGAGAGAGAAAAGTGGTGAGTGACAAGAGGCTGCAGTAAAGTGGGGGGAGAGGTGGTGGTGGTGGTAGTGATGGTGGTGGAGGGGGGGTGGAGGGGTCTGTCGAAGAAATCAAGTCAATAGAAACTGAAGTGGATGTAGGCGCTTAGTGCTGTGACGTCACTTTCTACATTGAGCCAGTAGTAGAGGAGAGTCAGTGGAGATAGATAGAGGAGCGCCGTAGTAAAGTACACACCGTCATGAACTTCTCCCTCTAAAACTTCAACCTTGTTGCTCTAGAAGTCGGAGAGAGGACGAGATTACATTTTTTTGTTGTTGTTCGACTAACGGAAATTGCTCTTTATTCGCTTTCTTTTTGCGGGGGAGTTCGGGAGGAAGGAAAAAAAACAAGAGAGAGCGGGGGAAGAAGGCAACATTTTGGGTTTCTTTTCGGGGGGTCGACGACGAGCGCTATGTCGTCCGCGGCGGTCGCTGCTTCTTCCAGGAGGCAGTCGTGTTATTTATGCGACTTGCCCCGCATGCCTTGGGCCATGATCTGGGATTTTACCGAGCCCGTCTGCAGGGGATGTGTCAACTACGAAGGAGCAGACCGCATTGAGTTTGTCATCGAGACGGCCCGACAGCTTAAAAGGGCTCACGGTTTTCAGGAGGGCAGGTCTCCCGGGCCGGGGAAGTCGCAGCTCTCCGGGAAGGAGATCCAGGCGATCAACCACGCTGCGGGGGGAGATCCGGGCTCCCGGCCGCCGCAGCCTCTGGACCGCTACCCTCTGTCCGACCGCCCGCCCAGGCTGGGTCCAGAGTATCAGCCTAGAGGGCAGACAAACGGCATCCAGCTCCCTAATGGATTTCCTAAGCCTGACGAGCCACCAGAGCTGAACCGCCAGAGCCCCAACCCGCGCAGGAATAACACGGTGCCCCCGAATTTAGTGCCTTTGCCTAACGGGGGCTTGACCCCGGGGCATGCCGTCAACGGCAGGAACCCGATCGGGCTTTCCTCCACTCTGGCGGGCGGTAGTCCCGCCGACATGGGCAAGAGACCCGCCTCGGTCTCCAGCACCGAGCACGACAGAGAGCTGAAGGAGAAGCACAGACCCGACAGTCTCACGCCGGAGATCTCGGAGAGCCACAAAAACAGGGCAGACCCCGACTGGATGGGCAAAGGCAAAACGGTGAGGGACCTGATGGCTCTGCACACCACGTTCGAGACCAGGTACAAGAAGGACCATGTGCCCATGCCACAAAGAGCTATGGTCTATGAGCCCGGCCCCACTCTTTCCAAGTCAGGTGAGCATTAAAAGGCAGGAATATTTTATCTATACTGTGCATTTTTAAAATTGTAATTTTTATTACTGATTTATTAATTTTCCACCCAGGAATGTGTCAAGATGGTAAAAATGGTATTTATAAAGCCATGCCCTAATATTATAAGGGCTATAAATAAATTTTTTGAATCCTTTGCTGTGTTTGTTATTGTTTTGTAGCCTGTGGTGCAGCACGAATTGGCAAAATTCACATCTCCCTTTCAGGCTAATTGTTGATCCTTGTATGAGCTGTGCAACTCAACTGCTCTGTTTAACCCTTTACTACCTCCAGACAGAGGAAAACATCCCCGGGGGAGCAACAAGAGAAAAGCATCACCTGAACCGGAGGGAGAGGCGACAGCTGCCAAGCTCAACGGAGAGGGACAGCAGTGGTTACCACCACCTACTGACGGACTGAAAATGCCTCCAGTTCCCCCGCCAAGCTTCGCCTCTCCCCCTTCCACAATATCCCCTCACTCCCGTACCACCCCACCGGAGGCAGCTCAGAATGGTCAGTCCCCCATGGCGGCGCTCATCATGGCTGCAGACAACGCAGGTGGGAACAGCTCTCCCAAGGATGCCAACCAAGTCCACTCCACCACCCGGAGGAACAGCAGCAGCCCCCTGTCGCCGTCCTCCATTAATCAGAGGAGGCTGGCGCAGAGAGAGGCGCCGAGTGCAGGCACCCCCCATGTGCCAGGCATGGACCAAGTGCACCCCCCACAAAGCATTCCGGACTCCTCTGTACCCAGCAGCATACCTCTGTGCTGCACGCTGTGCCACGAGCGTTTGGAGGACACACACTTTGTTCAGTGCCCGTCTGTGCCCTCTCACAAGTTCTGCTTCCCATGCTCAAGGGAAAGCATAAAGCAGCAAGGCGCCACGGGTGAAGTGTACTGTCCAAGTGGAGAGAAATGCCCCCTGGTTGGCTCGAACGTACCATGGGCTTTCATGCAAGGAGAAATCGCCACCATCCTTGCAGGAGATGTCAAAGTAAAAAAGGAGAGGGACCCTTGATTTTTTTCTTTTTTTTTTTGTCTGAACACTTCTTTGGGGAGGGGAAGCAAAAAAATATGAGTATAAATATATAAATATCACATACATACCATTCAAACAAACTAACGGACTTGTACATATTGGACCCAAGGGAAGAGTATACTTCGTAAAACATGGTTGTATAATTTTTGATTTTTGAATACATTGTGTTTCTATATTTTTGAAGATAAAGGTATGTACTCATTATAATGAACTACGTTCCTCTTTGTTGATGTTTAACAAAAAATTCTTGATGTACTTCTAGGTCTGGTGGCAGTTCCTGTTTAACGTAGAATGTGACTAATGCTACTCTACGAGCACTTGGCAAAACTAAAAATGCTTTTAGCTGTACTTGTATGCACTTGTTTAAAAATTGCCAAATACAATTTCTGATCTTGTATGAACATATTGTCTGAGCTTGCTTCATTTTGAGTGAATAAGTGACACAAGGGGCTGTGGACAGATGACGAGATAGCGCTCTCGGCTCTGACATGCAGGCTTGTTGTTGTGACGGCTCAGGAGACTTGATTTACGCTGCACACAACACAACACAGCACAACATGAGCAGGCTACTGTTTCAAGCTGCAGGACGGAAGAGCCTTTTTTTTTCTGTCTCTCTTTATGCACACATGTCTTATGTGATTCATGGAGAAGCTTGGCTGGGAAAAAAACAAGAAAAAAGAAAAAAAATACAAGACACACTGTCCTCGACTTTTGTGCATCGCTGTAACTGATTGCAGAACTAGGTGCCAAGTCATGTTCAGTCAGCTGGAATCTGTCGAGTCAGTAATGAAAACGTGCATGAATGTCAACATGATACAATAGTACAAACCACGCCGTGTGACCGCAAATTTGGACTTTTCCTGAAAATAACCACCCTTGGGTTTTTTTCTGGTGACGTGTATTTTCCAAGCTTGTATGCAGATTGTGTCTGATGTCACAAAGGTGTTTGGCTTTTTTTGTTTTATTACACATATAACTTCTCTCTCTCTCTCCCTATATATATATATATATATATATGTAAGGAGAGAGAATTTTTTTATTAAAAAACATACTTTTGGTTTAGTCTGCAGATGACAAACTCCAGATAATGAATAAAATCAGCTTCACAAACCAACTCCAAGCATACGTTAGGTACAATTAGCACTGCAGCAACACACTGTTTGCTTTCGGTTTTAGCCTTTTGTGTCACACTGAACATGCACTCATAATGCAGCACCCTTCCCCACGCTGAGAACGGAGTAAACATCCACGCTGCCTTACATGCCAGCCTCGCTCTGTATGCCTTCAAATGTAAATGCAACTGCTGCTGCAATTTCTTTGACAGTGGAGTCACACACAAACGTGCACAAAACCCCCTACAAACTCTTGTATCGCTAATGGCAGCCCTTACTGGTCTCTACAAGCATCGAGGAGCTTACAGTGGGCCATTAAGTGACAAACTGCAGCTACTGTATGTCTAGATGAAAAGCAATCCTGAGACTATTTTTGCTCTCTCTCAGACAAAGAGCTCCCGAGTAGCTGACCACACAGACCCAGACATGGAGGATGATATCTAGCAGAAAGGAGGGCTTGGTGTTAGCAGGCAGTTGCGTAATTATTTTCAGACGTAATCTGCTTCTTGCTAGCTCCCTGATTTTTCAAACAGAGCACACAATCCAAAAGCAGATTGTTTTTTTTCTTCTTCTTCATTAAAGGCCCACAAACTGCTCTGACATTGTTGCTTTACTGTTCACCGTGGTGCCCATGAATCTGCTATTCAGCCGGGGATTTACTGACCTTCTTGCTCTGGCAGACATGTTTAAGATGGTATTTTTGGAAGGCACCTGAAAGCTGTGATTACCCGCTTCTTTAACAGGCTGCATGGTGTCCCCGATTAACTGATTGATTCATGATGTTGAATGAAAACACAGCCTTTGCACTCGCCCATTTAGCCGACTAAGAATAGCAGGTATAATTATTGTCCCCTAACCGAGAAGACTGGAAGGGCTGCAAAGGATAAAGGAAACTCTAAAGGTAACTTCAGAGCACGCGTCAGCTTTTACAGTATGATTTAAAGCTTGAAACGTGTTTTTCATGAGTGCGCGTTTTCCAGGCAGCTGTTTGTTTATACACCCTTTTTCCGTTCTTTGGAAAGCTATCTTATCAGTTGGACTTTAAAACGAGAAATGCAGCCCACATTGATAAAGGACAGCACTTTACTGTGCTCATCAACAACACGCCCTTATTCCACCTTACGTGGTGTTCTCAGAGATTTTATTAAATTTTTTTTGTTAATCAGTTGACTCGTTGACCTACTTGTTCCTTATCACACTATACTGCCAACCAAATTAAAATTGCCACATCTGAGAATATCAGAGTTGAGAGCCAGGTTTTTATAACCTGGAAAGATGATGCAATGAGACGTAAATGAACACGTCTCCTTCTCTCGCTTTCCTCTGTGCTCGTAAAGATATATGACAGCAGACGCAGTACCTGTTTGTCCAGTGGTGACTGAAATAGCTTGCGCCATATCTAATACAGTGATACTGTGTCCCTGGAAGTGGCTCTGTCATAACACAGCACTCTGGTGTTGCGTGGTTACCGGTGAAATCGGTGCACGGCAGATGCTCCGGTGCAGGCTGTTAGTTAATATGCAGGGAGGGAGCTTTTCTGTAAACAGCCTGCATGTGAGGATCAGGGCCGCACAGAGCTGATAGCATGAAGTTCGGCTTTAATTTTTCTGATTATACATCTTTTCTTTTTTAGAAAAAAAAAAAAGTGAATCATCTCTCCAGCTTTCGGTACGATCACGCAGGAACCATTTGTGGTTAATGACTCACGTTTTTATTATGTTTACTTACACGAACCTCCAGGGATTTTTAATGTCTAAGCCCTGCTTGTGAGGCGAACGCTCCTGACTTTGATGTGTTTTTACCCTCAAATGATTTATAGAAAACCTGACCGGGTGAAATCCAAGTCCAACCTTGGGTAAAGTTTAATTCGATTCCTTCTCTTCCCACTGCTTCCGGATAGCAACTTGGGGCTTTTGCTGGGCTACAGTCAAGTGTTTGAAATATCCCTGAAATCCGGCGATCTTTCATCAGGCGGCCGCGGGTCCAATCAATGGTCATAAAATCCTTCATTGACTGTTTGATCGATATTGACTCGACACAATCCAGTTAATCAAGCTAAGTGAAAGGCAATAACAGATAGGTGACGCAGCCAGTGTGTGCTGCTTGGCTGCCTCTCCTGGTAATGATTAACTCGGGCATTACGCAAAGATGTCGGCGCGATAGTAAAACTCAGAGTTCATATTTGTTGTCTTTGCAGCACTAGATGAGTTTATTCTAGCACTTGACCGCACAGATAAGCGTTTCTCCTTCACGTATGGAAAAATACTCAGAAAATGACACCGTTTTTAAAAAAGATAATCGTATTTGTTGACGTTCGTTTTGTTCGAAACATCAGCCAAGCGTGACGCCAATGCTGACAGCGTGTTCATTGAAAAACACAACTACAAATTCTAATCCTTAGGCATTTATTTTACATCAAAAAATGTTGAATATGGTCCAGTGGGTGGGTGGAGGGAGGGAAGGCCTGTGTGGGAGACACTAAAGCACTCAATGTAGCCAGCTGTTTCACTAATGAATCCATGTTTAGCACAATAAATCAAAAGGCGTGCTCGTGCTGCTGTAATCCCCTGAAAGCGAAGCAGAGACGGGGACGCGCCAAAAGGAGAATCTGGTCTACATTTCTCCACTCCCAGTATAACTGAGCCGCTTGGTTAATTTTAGACCTGTCAGGGAAAACAAGGTCACAGCAAATGTTGTATCGAGGACACGCTCAGATCTGCTTCTTTTTCTCTTCATCAATCAAAGTTCCCCTTTGGTGCTGGGCTCGGGCTCCTGCGAGACTGGTAATGACGGTTTCTCTTCTCAGCACCGGGGGAGAAGCTGGGGCTTCAACCAGCAATTAGGAGGATCCGCAGGATGTGTAAAACTTCCCTTCTGAGTCTTGGCTTGGTCCGCAGAGTGGGGAGAGGGGCCGGGGGGGTGTTACATCTGACTGGCCTGTTTACCATGAAGGCCAGCAAAGTTAAGATGATTACAATGCTGAGTGCCAAATGTGTGTGTATGTGTGTTTTTCCCCTCAAACTGGTATGAGGCTTGTTTACTGCAAGAGCACCATGAATTGTTCAGCGTTTTCTCTGCTGTAATTACATGTGTTTAAATGTAGTTTTGGATGGCAGTGGAACTGAACATACACAAAAACAGTGTCTTTAAGAGGGCACACACAGCTTTTTTGTTTGTTTTTTTGTTTAAAAGATAGTATGGGGACACCTTTCCCTCACTTCATGCTTCATGTTTGTCTCTGGATTTCTTTATTAGCTTTATCGCTGCGGTTTGGGAACCTAATTTTCCATTTTTCTTCCTTGCGATCGCTTCCTGCCTTATCTTTCCATCCATCCATTTCTCTCTGACTCAATCTCTCCGTATTCCTGTATTCTCCCTTTTTGCTCTGGTGTTGCAGTGAATGGAGTCTGTGAAATGGAAATGAGGACTCTGGCGCTCTCTCACTCTCTCAGTCTCCCCCTCTTTCCAGACATCAGAACGAGGCTATGCCTCCAATGTTTTTCTCAGATCTTGGAGTGCTGCCAAATCTTATAAGTGGAGCAGAGAGAGAGAGGTGGAAGAAGAGAGTGAGCAGGATGCAGAGGAAGGAGAGAAGCGTAGGAGAAAAAGATGAAAGGAGAGAGGATGAAAAATGAACGAGGGAGAGAGGCAACATGAGGGATGAGGACAAAGCATGGGACTGATCCAAGAGCATTTGGGCTTTCTCTCATATTATAGCCGAGCCCAGCACAATCCCTCCTCTTTCTGCTGAGCAACTACTCCTAGCTTCTGGCTCAGGATCAGCTGATAAGATGGCGTGGTGCTACTATGCCAAATGAAAAACAGGAGGCGTGTGAGGGGACTGTTATCGCGTGCAATCGAGAATTTTTGGTACATAACAACATGGCTGGAGAAAATAGGCCACAAGGAGGTCTAAATTTGCTCCACTGGAGACATTTGTAACATAAACACACCCCTGCAGAGTTTTAATAATGACAGAAATGCAGTCGTGTTTAATAGAAGCCACGACTTCTTTACCTTCCGGACACAGTATTTTAGGCCTTTGGGAGGTGCGTGCCAGTCAGGGTAGTAAGATGCTTGCTGCTGCCTTTGACATGCCAAACTAAAGTTAGATTTAGCTGGCAATAAGAGCCATGCTAAAAGTAAATACGGGAGCAGCGAGCACCACTTTGATCTAGAAGGATCCTCAGCCTGCCGCCCTGCTGTGGATTTTCAGTGCTTTGAGGTTTTTTTGGGAAAGATCCAAAATGAACTAGAGTTCATGAAAATGCACTATATATACAGAAGGACTGGGAGCCAGACCTTTTCAGAAACTCAGATGCAATCATAGTGATTGACTGTCTGGTGGAGTGTTGCTCAAAAAAGTGCTGTCTTTTCCCCTGTGTGTTTGGTGAATGAGGCTTTGGTTGAGCTGTCAGCTTGTGGTGGTTACAGTGTGCAAGCTTGTGTTTGCGTGTCTGTGTTGTGGGGGGTGTTCAGGTGACTGTCTGTCTCTCTGCACCCCCAAGATGCTTGTTTAGTCAGCTGAGAGCCTGGATTTCATGGATGCGATGGCTTCTGAGGGCCATCTGCCTTTAAAGCTTGAATAATGATGCCAAGCCTATGTACGGGGAGTCGAGTGTGCCCCGGTCACAGTACAGAGGTTAAACAGATCATTTCTAATAATCTTGATTCATGTTGAGACAAAAAAAAGGAAACACTGCAGTGATATGATGCAGCAAAAAAAATGCTTTAGCCGTCCATCTGATTGCAGCCTTCTTTGCACTGCTGGTCTGTATCTGAATGTCCTGATGAGAGGGCGGGCTGGTGGTCTGATGAATCGCTTGGTCCCTGGGGTGTGTCAGCAGATCTGTGGTGATGTATTACGGGTTGCTCATTTCCTGCCGTCCCTTTCTGCTCCTTGCCTGCTCCTCTCTAGGGTTATGGCCAGGGGACGAGAGAGGGAGGGGGGCAATTATGGCCAGTTCAAGCCGGGACACAGCACTCCGTGTCTGCGTGCAACGAGATCAGCTGCCTCCGCCGCAAACACGCAATTAAACTTTCACTGTCGTGTTGCCAAACAACAAAGCACCACACACACACAAAAAATGTCTGAGACAACTTTTATGTGCTGCATAAATCCAGGATTCCTGAGAGATCTTCAGTGTGTTGTACATCGCCTTTCATCTCCTTAAAGGCATACAGTTGTCAGAAGATAAGAACAACACTCTTAGATATCCTGTCACTTTTGTTTTTATCTGGGAATACGTCATGCGTACATGCCCACACACACAAACACACACACGTACGAACACCCGTCCACAAATTCGCTGTATTTTTTTTATGTTACATAACAGTGAGTGGGAGCCATTTCTTCACCGAGTGCTAATGTTGTTGTCAATCAAGGCTTATAGTGGCAGCCATAGCACAATCTCTACAGAGGCAGAATAAAGCTTTTATCGCCTTTGTTTGGTCTCCCTTGCCAATCAAGTGCTCTATTCTCTTGATTTCACCTCCACCTCTCGTTCCCCCTCTGCTCCTATTGTTTTCTGTGTTTGTTTGAACTAATTTTCTCGGGAACTGTTTAGGTTATCTTCCCAGCAGCGGAACGTTTGAGTTGGCGTTAAGGAGCGAGAGGAGGTCAGGTCAGCACAGAGAACAAGCAGGGCCTGTGCTTGACAGGTGTGGTCTATTATTAGAGCCGGTGACTTCGAGTGCGTTACACAACCTGCGTTGCTCGGGCAGGTTTATTTAGATCGCAAGCAGAGCCGTTTTGGAGTATCTGATAGCTCGGGCAGAGCTATGTCACAACAGGTGTCTGGGGTTGGGGGTGGCGGATAATGGTACAGTAAATAACAGAAGGGTTTTTATAGCTCAAGGTTGATGGAGTGAAATTCAGAGTGCTCGGAGGAAAGCATTTGCAGATTTAACTCTGCCGTGCATGCACAAAGGCGATCCATCCATCTATTTGGATCCAACAAAAGCGCACTTGTATTTAGCCATCACGAAATAAAGTATGCTAATGACAGGTTGCGCTTGATATACTGTATACATGTCTGCTGCTCTGTAATGATATAATCACAGAGCAGGAACAGCAGCCGCTCCCCTCCCTTGTCCTCCTCTTTGGCTGGAATGTGCAGGGGGAGAAAAATGATCCAATGTCATCCGCAGTGATGGAAGCTTCTCTGTTCAGCCAGAGGGATATGTTCAAGGGAGGGAGGAGGGGGGAGAGAGCGGATATTTCTGGTTGAGTGTGAGTTTGAGTAAGTCCGGGCGTCGAGCCAAGCATGCCGATGGAGGGGAAGGGAGGGGCGGGAGGCTTTTGGAGAGAGAGAGAGAGGAGAGAGATAGAAACCCTTTCGGGCTGGCACGCTGTCAGTTTCACTAGCACACAGCTGCTTCTGGAAAATTCTGCACCCTGCCCTACTAAACCACCAGGCATGACATGAATAACAAGAATGGCCCAGCCATCAACAGCAGATACTTTTCCTTTTGACGTGGGCCTAACAGACTGGTACAAATGCCCTGGCCTTGCACATAGTGGAAAAATCAACAATGAAGGGGACACCGGGGCACAATGTGGAAATGAAATCCCGGGTTTAGGAGGCTTTGTCTGGACAAGGACGCAGTTGACATAGAGCCCGAGGGCTTTGCAAAAAGGCCGTGCAACAAAATGCCAACTGATGTGTTTTGATGGGGTTACTCGTTCACCAGCCGGTCACTAATTGGAGAGTAAGAACCCACTAAATTGCTTTCAGTCAGCATGGAGCTGTGGCGAATTTCCTTTCCGAGCTGCATGTGTCATTTTGTTGCCCCTCGAAGACGGCGGCAGAAAAAGAAAGCATGAAATGTGGTAGCTAGTGTGTGTTTTGTGTGTTCCTAACATGACCAGTCAACACTTGCCCCAGATCTAAGTACAGCTTTCCCAGCAGTGATGAGATAATGCTAGCCCTTATCCCTCTATGAGGTTGTTAGATATGTGCAACCCTCTGTAGTGTTGACATTTCCGTGCCCAACCCAAGTGAACACATAGGGCCACAGAGGCTCCTCTCAGGCTGTCTGTATCCATGGCAGATAAAGAGGTGAGTCAGCCACTCATCTATCCAGTTCTCCTCCTCCTCTGCATGGCAATACTCCTACCCTTAGCCCCCGTCATCCTCGTTCACAAGGCCTTATGTGTACATTCAGCACATGGTGGATTGTATAAATAGCAGCGACCGCGTGGCTCGCCGCTGACACCTGACATTTTCATGCCCCAGCAAGCCGCTGATACATTTGGCGCTTGGCACGCATTCTTCTCTCGGGTTTATCCATCTGTTGATGTAGAGCCCAACCCCCCGAGCCTCTACTATGTTCCTGTAACATAACACGAGCCTCTCCTTTCCCTCTATTCATCTTAACATGCAAGCACCGCATGGCACAGACTTCACCCCTCCCTCCTACCTCCATGTTTTTCTCTGGCTCTTACTCGCTCTCCCTCCCCCCATCGTGCTGCCTTTCTTTTTCCTCTCTCTGCCTAACAACACCCAACAAACACACGCTGCACAATCCACCCAAGTCATTAGTCTTCAGACTGGCGTTCAGCTGGTCTCAGAAACCCACCAACATGGGGAACAAAAGTGAGATGGGAATTGCGTGAAGCTGGAGTGATAGTGCTGGCAAAGAACTGAATGTGAGATTGTGTGCAGGCAGGGTACTTCCTGGCTGCCCGCCAACTTCCAGCAGCAGCACTGCAGCATGTCAATATGTCCGTTGCCAGGGAAACAGCGAGAGCACACACAGTCCATAGAAAACCTTATTGCTACACTTTACACTCTTCTTCCTCTTTTTAAACTCCAGCTCAAAAATGCTCAATGAAGCTGTATTACTCTCCAGGCTAGGGAAGAGCATTACTAAAGGGGGGTTATGATGAACCCCCATGGACTTAGCCAACCACCAAGAGCTGCTGGAAGGGCATCATCCCTAACTGGCTTCCCACCCTTGAACATGGTCAGTTGTGTTTATTAAGTAAATGTGATCAGGGACCAAATATCTTTGCTGCAGTAAAATTTGCTGGTCTGGTTTAAAAAGTGTCAGCACTTCATTTGGGTCATTCAACCTTTACCCCCAACCAGTCTCAGCAAATGGCTGTTGGGGTTTTCTCATGGTTAATCTTTTGCTTCGCTCCAGATACCTCAGAACTCGGATGTTGTAACTTGGGAGTGATGTCACTTCTGAGTTAGCATGTCCCAGAAAATTTGAGGAAAAACAGGATTCGTTTTGGTTGGTTTCACTAGTAGTACAGCATAATACTAGTTTGTGCCCTTAAAAACACATTCATGGGTAGAGCCTGATCAGTGCAAGGGATTAAAAGTTTACAGTTTTACTGCTGTTTACGTTATGTGTTGCCATCTTGCAATGTTATGTTTGGGTTGGTTCGACTTTGCTTCAACTTTCTGAGTGGTAAATGTGAGTTGAGGGGGAGTTCCAGAATCAAATTCCAACTAGGAACTTGGAAATGCAGGCTTGTGACTTATTTAGCAACACACCATTAAACGTTTATAAAGTGCCTTGAAGAAACAGTTCATGGGATTTGTAATTAAATTTAACTTAAATTAGAAAAACTCAAAAAAAGAAAGTTTTTTTTTTTTTTTTTTTTTTTATAAAATGTGGCATCTGGGAATAAAACATGAGAAGTGAAGCTACCTTCACCTGGATTTTAGCATTACATGACAAAAGCGACTAGCTAGCTTGGCTAACGTACAGCTAGCTGCTAATTAAGTAGCATACCTATAAAATAAGAGAGCATCACTCACCAGCGCTGGAGTATAGCCTTCTTCGATGGTTTGTATGTTAACCACAGTCAATTTGAGTCGAGCTCTCTGATGCCAATTAGCAGAGCTAAAGTGAAGTTAAAAGCTAGCAGCTAACGCTACATGCATTGAAAGCAGCCAGTCACACAAAGTTACAATAGTCTTGGTAAAGAAATGTTTAGATATTAACATTTTCCAGTCAGTGCTAAATTAGCAGGCTGTATAAAAAAGTATTTCTATCTATTATTTAACTTTATGAAAAGTGTATAAGGACTGAGTCCCTCTTGGAGCCATAACACATTAAAAAAGACAACTTAGCTATAATGACTGTGACCTACTTTTACGTAATTTGTTGGTTTGTGAAATCTTGTTTTGAAGTGTTGAGCTGAGCCTTTCTGTCATCTTGATGTCACAAAAGTAGAAGGGCGGGTTTTAATATTAGACTACATGCTCACTGGGTAATTTCCTGTTATTGACAGCTGACTGTCTTTTAAGGTTTGATATCATAGATTCTTCATTTTGAAACATGGTATGAACAAGCTTTACAAAACACAACCTTTTTAAATTTAATATGACCCAAAATGAGTGAATGAGGCTATAAGTCCAGCAGGAATGCGTTAACAGAGATAGAGACAGAAGCCAACAGACATCTATGGGATTGGAAGTCTTTTAGCAACCACAGGTATCGCCATCTGGTAGCCGCCGGAATGCAGATCGATGCTGTCTTTATTTTTCCAACCCGGAAAAATGTTTTATACCGTCTATGAGAGCCAGCTTCATGTCTTCATGTTTTGCAGCTTGGTTAGCTCAACGTTAATCTTAATGTTCATGGATAATTAGAGTGTCAAATTCCTTTAAAAATAAAGAAATCCTTTACAACAAAATATAATGCTTTTGAAAAAAATATTTTAATATCTAAATCATTTTATCTTCAAAGTACTGAGTTTTTTGTATCCTTCCTACACTACAGTACATATTTCTGTTTCCTCCTTTGCACATAAGGTTGATGTTTGTACCCTGCAGCAAACAGCTTGACTGTGAGTTATTACCGGCAGGTCTATACTCCTCCATCAGGTGTTGCGAAACAATCTCTTCAGATACATCAGGCTTCTCTGTTGCAAAGTCGCAACTTTCAACAGAGGTCATGTGTTTTATTGTGTTGATCTACAAAGTGACACAGTAACCTAACCGGCCTCTGTGACCTTTATCTAAGTAACTTTTTCTGCTACTCTGCTGATACCATTATTTTTTTTATTTTACAGCGATAAATATATTTATCTGTGGAACAGCCTGTATTGTGCTTTGTTTGAAGTGTATAGTTTGTATCCCAGGAAGAAATCCTCCTTTATCTCAGTACTCTCTCTGCTCTGTGTATTGTGGCTTTTATCAAATAGCCAGGGAAATTTAGGAAGGCCAGAGGAGTTTAAGAATGTATCTTGTGGCCATACGTGGTATAAATTTTGACAATAAGCCCTTACATGTCACTGATTACCTTACCATCTAATACCCCGACTTAGCCTTAATAGGATACCATAGCGGCAAACTGGTGTTTATGCAGTGTGTTCATCTTACAGTGTCTTTCTCTGAAGGACGGCTAAAGGACAACTCTGTCAGCCCCACCTAGCTTGGCACTCTTATCCAAGTCTGGCTCAGTCTGTGCTCGTATCACTAGAGGGGGAAAGGGGTGTGCCAACTATAGTGCCTTAGTACTTTTCAGAACTATCCGTGCCTGCGAGTGGTCTAACAGCTGCTGCTGCAGTGTCTGAGCTTGCTCAGGGGTGCAGATGAAAGTGCTGATGTGTCCTGTTATTTTGGGCTGTGCAGTGCCCTGGGGGGCAGAGGAATTTTTGGAGGAGACCGGGCAAGATTGTTAGCGGAGAGGTGGGGGTTTGTGCCCAGAGGGGGATCATAGGAGAGTTTCTCCCAGAATGCAATGTGACCCTCGTTGCCACATGGCGCTGCGGGAATCCTGAGGGGGTGCGGAACTGCTGACAGTACCAGGCTGAGCGACGGGCACAGACGTGAGCACAAAGACTGGATGCGCTCTCTATCTCCGATGATTGGCAGTATTTCTGGCTGCCTTTCATACATGAAGGGAGGGGCTGCTGATAGCCTGTCACAATCAAAGTTTTATGCAGCGTTTGATCCAAACTACATTTCATCTAGAGTTTCAGAGCTCACTCCTGACATCCAAAACAAATGTAAAAGCCCATTTGGTTGTCCATTAGCAACACAATTGTCATCAGCAGATGGAGTTTGAACTCCAAAAATCCAGGTCGCTTCTAAACAGCTACCAAATGGAAATTAAGGTTAAATTATTTTATCAAGCACTTTTTACCTGTGAGACTTATATGAAATGATTCAACTTGTCCCATGTAAGTAATGTCATTTGTAATGACAAATCCAACAATTCAGTATATCTGTTATATATTTCCCTATATGGCATCAGAATAGAAAGAGCAACAGAATCAGAGAAACCCTGATGTAACCTTGCATAATTTTATACTATGATATCTGATTTTACTTTCACAATCATTACGATTATCATATTCAAGAGTTTTGTAAGAGCTTTATTGTCATCTCACATAAAAACATTGCATTCCTGTTGCATAACATAAATGATATAGAAATACCAGACGCATCATTTATCATTCATTCAATAACCACAACTGCTAAGTTTAACTACAATTTAATTAAAGAAAAAAAGTGATTTGTATTTCTTTCATCGGGTAAGTATTGAAGCTGCTATTTTATTACACTTGTGCAGACTCCTTTCATTTAATTAAAAACATCCTTACAGTAGTTCTCATTATTATCCCGTGCTTTGCATTTTTCAGTGGTATACAAATATGTGAGAACCAATTTCAAGTCAGTTTTATTTATATAGCGCCAAATCACAACAGCAGTTACCTCAAGGCACTTTATATAATAAAGTAAAGACCCTACATAAATAGAGAGAAATGCCCAACAATCAGATGAACCTCTTTGAGCAAGCACTTGGTGACAGCGGGAAAGAAAAAAACCCTTTTAACAGGAAGAAACCTGAGGATTAATAAAGCGTAATAATATTTCACGATTAAATGCAAGGTGGTGTATAAACACATAACACAATTGTGCAGCAATCTGTAACACAGACTTTGGCTTATCACGTTGGTGGTAATGTGCACGAATCGCAGGTAGCTGCTCCATGCCGGCAGCTTGTTACATGCCTGAAATGTTAATGTCAGCCATCACACTGCCATTAACACTCTCTGCTGGCTGTAAATGTTATCGTGGATCTTTTTCCACAGACACAACGTTCCCATTTCCATTCATCTCACACGTGGCAGTAATATTACAGCCACGTTTGGCCTGCCGTGTACGAGAAAGACGCCGTGTCATTTACTTAATCACACGTCCCTTATGGCTCGTACTTCAAAAACTATCTTTGATTTATCTCGGTGCCCCTTTACTGAAAGCCGTCCAGGATTTCCAGTGTCTTCTCGTTCCCGTGCTTCATCAGAGAAACCTCGTCCATGGACAATATGACACGATATTAATTAAGAGGGATACTCACAGATTGCACCATAAATCACTTTCCCTCGCATTTTCATGCTTGGTCTAACATTTGCAATTTGCATCTTGTTCCCCTCATAACTGCGTACACCTCTGTGAAGAGGCAGGAGACAGAAGACTTTAGCAGCTCCACTGTCATGTCATGTTATCCTCAGAGGGGCTTGCCAATAACCTTAGAAGGATGGATGACTGTGCTGACTCATTGCACTGGTGTTGTTATCTTCAGTGTCTGGGACATTGAGGAGGCTGGGAAATGAAAGTCATGATACTATTTCAATGTACTTCCACAGTAGGGCTGTATAGGATTTATAGATCCATTTTAATATGCATTTCTTAGGCTCATTTTCTCCTTTATGCTTATTTACTTGATCAGGAATCAGTGTTAGTCCAGGTATTTAGAGATCTGACTCACATGACTGTGTGTAGATCAGGCTGCTTTGTTATTTCAGCTTCTCATGTGATCAGCACTCAACACCAAAGGCTACTCTGAGCCCCACCCCCTCGCCCCCTTCAGTACTTTGAAGACCGACAGAGAGAGTCTGTTACCAGAGAAACAAAGGTCAGTGTACTGCGTCGTCACATTCTCAACTCACAGGATGGATCTTGAAAGAGAAAAAAGGACCCGGCAAACAAACATCCTTTGTTTTTGCTGCAACAAGACCGCGTTTGTTGTTGTGCTCTGGGCTCTGATGTCATCGTCATGGGTCATCCTCTCCGTGACCTCTGGGGCTGCGATTCTCAAATAGCTTCATCAGGAGGTGCGCGCCAATTACAGCATTGATTTTTGTTTCACTGGCTCGCCCACGCTAACACAACCCCCCTGCTCCCACCCCGCCCCATCGCACAAACACAAACATGCATGTATTCATCCAATAACACAAAAATAGAGTACAGTGAGTTCACTGTTCTCTCAGTACGGTCGTTTTCCCAGCGGGAAGCTGCAGTAGAAAGACTTACTCTAGAAAACTCCATCTATTTGTCTGAGTACCATCATTAACTGAGGCAGAAGAGAAGCCGACGCCACACAAAATGATTAAATTGCAAAGAAACATGTTGACATTTTACAGCTAACTCACTGCAACACTTTAAACTGCTGCAACTCTTTCACAGAGGAAACTGTGAACACCTAATGTGACTGACCTTTGATGGTGTAAGTGATGTAATCCTCATGATAGATGCGTCAGACTTTGGCCTTAGGTTGCTCTCAATGTTCTACTCCCTAAAGGCCTCACAGGTTAAACGGGCCAAAGCAACCCCCATCAATACATGACCAAAGAAAACACTACATCACCTCAACCACGGCAATTAATCCCGGCCTTGTAGCCAGCTGACAGGCCTTTATCCAGACAACAAACAAAAATAGGCACTTTGTTGCCTGATGAAGATGTCGGAGGCCACATGGTAATTTTGCTGTAGCACTGCTATTCTCGTCCTAACAAGCAAAGCAGCACACCGCCTTTACCTAAGATTAAAAATTCAAATGCAGCACGCTCAAAGTAGGATTACTGTGCTAAGCTTGCTGTAACAAAAGAAGGGGTGGAATATAAAGGTTGGAAAAATTATGTATTTTCAATCCCTTCTGCAATGCTTGCTAATGTGATTTATACAAGAACATGTGTTTTTCTTCAGTTGACCTTATTACTGTAGCAGGGAGTCTTAATTTACATCATTTCTGGGCTGAAACATGGTTTGTACATCACATGTACAGCCTGAAACTAGCACTGCTGCTCTTAAAGGATTAGTTAAACATTTGGCTAATGCATTGAAGAATACATTGAAAGAGGCAGGTCAGGAAATGTTTAGATTAGCTTAAAGACTAAGAATAGCAACAGTTATTCAGAAAAATCCTTAGTCATTGACAACATTTCACAAATAGGTAATGGAAAAAGTTGTAGTGGGGGCTATCTGCATGTCTTGTGAGGGACTTTCTTGTGACTTTTGTAAGTATATCTCTATTTTGGACATAGAAAGCTAACCATACCTTCTGTTTTCATTTGCTATGCTAAGCTGAGTTAGCTGTCTCCTGGCTACTGCGCCATGTTTACCAGTAGTTCTGTTTATTTCATTATTGAATAACTATTTTTTCAAATGTCTTTTCTAAAAATGTCAAAACTATTCTTTCATTTATGCCTCTTAAGACAAATTTGCTATATTAAGGCAGTTTTACTTGTAAGAATTATGTTTAGCTATAATTAGCCTAGCATGTAGCACTAGTGGAAATACTGGAAATATGTTTGGTTTAAAAATGACACCAACTAGCTGTGAATTTAGGAAATAATTAGTTGCACTATTCTCATAAGGTTATATTACATGAACTTTGTATTAGAGAACACTAGAGTGTATATATTTGTTGTGTTACATTATTGCTAAATATTGAAATATTATATGACAAACTCCTGAAAGAAGTTCTGGTGATTTTATATTTATAATGAAAATGTTTTGTTTCTGTTTACAGGAAAGGGGAATAGATGAGCTAAAATAACCTTTACTTTAGCAAAGTTTTGATACTTCAGCCGAAACATTGTACGACTTTGAAAAGTCACACATGGTGAAGATTTCCTTGCAATTTTAAACACCCCTTCCAGTTTTATGTAAATCAGATTATTAAATTAAGCCCCCACAATGAGCCGCCATCTGACTGGAGGATGATCCGTGACCTGCTTTGAATACAATACACAATGCAATTCAAGAGAAGGTTAAGAGTTACATAATTGTGCATTGCTTCCTAGGTTCCTAGATGCTACTATGTTTTAAACTCATTAAAATATGATCTGCCTTAATGGGTGTCATGCCTAGTGAATAATCAGCTGAGTGCACAGTGATTCAAGAGATTGCATAACCTTTATATTTCATGAGACTTTGTTGGTGTTGCCTCATTCTTGTGTGTGTTTACAGGAGTGTATGAGGAATGCAGCTCTGAGTCAGCACAGAGGAACGCCAGTGAAAGCCAATATGAGACAGAGGATGGATTATATGAGGTGATGTTTTTAAAGGAAAGAGCTAAGCTTGAGCCCAGCATGGGCAGAAAGATTCTCAATGGATTACTTTCTCTTGTTATTATAGCTTTGTTTCATTGTTAAGAGGGTAGCTTTCTTTATTTGCAACATTTAAGTGTGTCTACTTCTTATGTATTGTAAATCAGTGACAAATAATTGCTTTTGTACAAATAAGCATTTAAAGAGCCTGTTAATGCCCTCACTAGCAGTCTGATGAATTTCATTACGCAGCCATAAATGAGTTTGTCCCTTATAATGCTAATCTTGAGCTACGCAACATTAATTTAATCTGTGTTCGATGAGGCAGCTCGTAACTGATGCAGGTGAAGATCATTTCGAACAGTCGAAAGCTGCTGGAAAAAAACAAAAAGCTTGACCTTGAGTTCAGCTGGCATTTCCATTGCAAAGACTGAACTGTGAGGCTTTTAGTTTGCTGAGCGAAAGTAACACATCAAACTTCCTTTTTCTCTTCTTCTGTTGTGATATAAAGGGACCGCCGCCATGAAATCGACTTCATCTCTCTCTGTAAATGTGATCTGTAAAATTAGGTCATACATTTACTGTATGTTGTGCTTTCTGGACTTTTGATAAAGGACTGTAATGATTTTTGTTCAGAAAAATTAGATATGTGACTAAATTAAATCTATATCAATTTTCTTTGGATTATCCAGTGCACGGTCAGGGGTTGGGTGGTGGATCTAGAGCGATGGGAGGTTTACACCTTTATCAGGTCATCAGTCACTCTACGGGTTACACATGGAGACAGATAAGCAAACTCACATTTACTGCTTCGGCCAATTTAGAATCTCCTGTTAAGATCACTTGCATAGGCTGAGGATTGTGGGAAGAGGTTAGAGTACCTGTAGAAAACATGAAAATACATAGAAAGAACCGAAGTTAGATTTAAACCCAGTACGTAGAGGACAGATGGAAAGAAATTGACTCTCGAGACTGTAAGCGCCAGACTACCATAGCCTCATTGAACACGAACGCACGGAAAGCCCGCCGTCAACTCGCTGCCCCGAACATGACAAAATAGTGTTATGTCAGCACGCAGAGAAATAGCAGTAAATTGGGAAGCAGAGAGGTACAAAGAGGTGTGGAGGGAGGGGTGTAGGGATATAAGGAGAAGAGGTGGGTTGGGGTGGTGGGGATTCAGGCTGTACCTGAGGCATGGAGGGGTACATCATTATTCAGAGCAGCGCTTTGATGTTGAGGCTGGGTGGATCTCAGGGAGCAGGCGAGAAGCAGTTCTAATTAAAACAGTAACAATGCAGCCCGAGTTGCCCCGCAGAAACGGGGGCTTTGAAGAGTCACTGAATGCCCCATTTAGAGCTGGCTGTCCACAGATAACACCAGATATTACGTTGACGGACTCTGAGGCCTCTGTCGCAAAATGTGTATTTTTCACTACAATTTATGAAACATTTCTCTCAGTGTGTGTGTGTGTGTGTGCTATGAGTTCTCAGTGTCCTACTTTCTGGGTTCTTTGGTGGCGTTGTGGGTCTGACAGGAGTGACAGATTGAGATGGGCTGTGGGTATTCAGAGGCCGGGCAAAGACAGGAAAGCCTGGGGGATCTTGGTATGACAGGTAGACAGAGGAGAGACAGAACTTCATTACAGCTTCTGCAGAGGGGAGCTCTGAATATCAAATTAGGGCCCCAAATCAACACAAGAATAATATTAGTGCTTTTATTCTAATACGTTTAACACACACACACACGAAATTCACCTACAACAGAGCCCGGTAAAGTACAATTTTTCTGCTTCCTGGCTTGTATAACACAGATTTCCCCTCGTCCACCGAGCATGTTTGTCTCACTCCTCACATCTACTGAGACTTATTGCTCAAAAAGGCACAAGCGGGCTGTAGAGAGAGCCGAGTGATGCTCTGAGACAGTAGCAGTTCAAAGAGACTGTCTACACAGAGAGAAGGGTCTAATTTTATCTAGGAGACAGAGGAGCTCATGAAATAGCTCTCTGCCTGACTACAGCTCAATTATTCATCAACACAAGAAGTCTCTCAACTAAAAAGCCTGACACGTTATTCATTCCCCCCCTCTTCCTCTCCCTCTTCTCCCATGCTGTTTCATTCAGACACTAAACCAGCCACCCACACACACATAAACTCGAAGGTACACGCCCTACCCTGGTCTTGAACCATGCAGTGCCCTCCAGAAAAGCAGGCGCGCTCTGGTGAGGATGAGTCAAAAATACGCTTAATGAATGGTATACGTTGTGGTGAGCGGTTCAGAAAGGTGAACTTTCACTTTGAAAATGAGAGTGAAAATCCTTTGTTGACTGTAAATAAAATGTTTGATTTTGCCAGAACATTTTTTTAAAGGAAACTCTCTGTCGAGGATCAAAACCAAACTCTGATTTTGGATGCTTTGGGCTCATGACTCAGTTTGTGTTTTGAACAACTTGCAGCTGGCGTCATCTCCAAACAGATGACAAGTCCTGTGACACCAAGCTGACTGAATCGTAACTAGTTGTGTAAAAGGAGGAATTACAGAATAAAGTACAGTGTGTGCTGTTTCCAGTGACTCCATCTTATTTCTTTTTTTTTTCCAGAGACCTTATGAGAGCTTGGACTGCCATAAATTTCCTGTTGCTACTGGAGCAGTGACACTCTGGAGGATACAGCCGAGCAGTATTTTCTTAGCTCGGTGACAGCCAATCAAGAGAAAGCCCATAAAACATATCACTTTTGTAATTTTTTTCCCGTCTGTGCTAAGTTGCAGCTTTAAAAATCCCACTGGGGTTCAAACCTGACTTCCCTTCAGTTATTTGTTGGCTGCAGAAAGCAGTACCACTCCGATTCTCATTATTTAACATGTTGCATCAGAAACCCAGTGGGTGCATCTGCACATGAGCTTCATCTGCCAATTTAGAAGCAACTTGTTAACCTCGACATGGAAAAGATTCAGATTACTGGTCAGTACAAGCAAGAGCTCACCCTGAACGATATGCAGTCTGAACCTGTTGGATGTTTCTCATAAGTTTATGGTTTTGGAAGTTGTTGGGTGGCCTTATGTAAGAATCGCTACCTCAAGCAATCTAAGAGCGGATTTGTGCCTGCTGCGATAATGACCTGATTTTAAGACCCATCCAGACAAGCCGACAAATTGATGCCAAGGTTGTGTTTTTATGTTGACTAGCGACTGTGAGACAAACACAGACAAACACATGGATCCGCCTGTCTGATTGACAGTGACAAGATGTCTCTGGATTAATGGTTGATTTTAAGAGCTAATATCGAGCCTGCCAAGAACTAAAGAGGGTTTTTTTGTGTGGAAATGTGTCTCTCACTATGCTAGATACATTTTATTTCTTTACAGCAACAGGCAACAAATCCAAGTGTGGGTGCATAAATCTGAAGGATCAATAAAGAAAATACAATAACCCATCCTTGGGATTATTGCTTGGCAATAAGTACTTCCCTGAACATTTTTCATTATGAAGACTGAGATTTATCATTGATTTCTCTGCCAAAACATGTAATGCAGGTGAACTTTGTGGCGTGTTTGCGTTAATGTGGACATCCTGGCTGGATTTAGTGTGGGCTAAGTCTATCTGTGACAGGCAGCAGGTGCTGTATATCACTTAGACGGGGAGATAACACTAGCTAAAGACAGTTGGGTTTAGTGCTGTTTGTAGATAAGGCCATAGAAGCTAACTTTAGCATCTGACATGAGATGAGAAAAGCTGTGATTGCAGGTGGCTTTGACACATTGGCCATGGAGATGGGAGTGATTTCTAAAACAAATCCTTTCTGGATATATGTCAGCTTTAGACTGGAGGTAAAATGTTGGAAAAACACTTATATTTGGCAATTTGCTCAAGTCCTCCCCCAAACAGCGATTGTAATAGCTTATCCTGGTTTAGTAACTAGGGTCAGGAGGTCTGCTGAGCTTTGGATTACTGTACTTGTTGAAGTTGTATGCATGGTATTTTTTGTTAGGTAGTTGATACCTTTCTAAAACCCGATTTTAACTGTGCATTTATTTGAAGAACACGTGCAATGCAAGTGACATACATGTTTCATTGTGGAATTTTATTACCTGCAGATAATATTCATTTTAATGAAGAGGGCGAAGTTGTTAGGAGCCAAATCTTTGGGTGGGTTGTTAGCAAAGACTTTCTTGGGATCACCAGAAACTCTGTTTCTCCGTTTTCACTGTGCTGTTTACCGCGGCACAATGGCAAAATCACAAGCACTCCAGAGCAGGTTGTTTCTTCTGAAACAAACCCCAAATTCTCCAGTGCAAAACTGATCCTCACATCTTGTGTGTCCTTTGGCCTTGGATACTAGAGATTACTACAGTGCTTGTAAGTCACCAGGATATGGCCAGAGACCCAGTTCATATCACCAAATGTTAGTTAGACTGTTTCAGAAGTCTTCAGAGGCTGATGCTTGCTTTCTGTTCAGGTTTGGGGTCCACGGTGAAAGTCCAGCTTGAATCTAAACAGGACTTCCAAAAAGTGCACTAAAAGAAATGCAGCGCCGCCCAAGGAGACTACCCTGAAGTTTAAATCTTTGATTGTTATGGGTGGACTTCTACACCTCACTGTGTGTGTGTTATGTTTTACCTTTCAAACCCAGCAGTGTTTTTTTTTTTAAATAATACTGTAATTGTGTAATAGGTAGCAGTAATTGAAACTGTATTGGTACCACGTGTGAACAGAAAGCACACCAAACAACAGAATCCAGGATTTAGCAAATGACCAGTTGAAAGACAGCCATTATCAGGGACGACATGGTCTTGACTCAGGTCCTGTTTTAATGTTGTTAGAGTTAGTTTGTGTGCAAATCCTGCTTTTTTCCCCCCAAAGTGGGATGTGATAGACTGCAGGACAGTTCAATGTTTCCTGGCTGCACGGAAACAAAAGGGCACCTCTGCTATTCTCAGCTCTAAGTCTCTGTCGGCTCTCTGTTTGTCTGATGTCTGGCTGTCACGGCAGAAGTGGAAGACTCTGCCAACACCCTTCAGCCTCACAGCCACCTCCACCTACTAAACTATGTGTTCTACTTACAGGAAGATGTCATCTCATGCACTAATGACATGATTTAGCCTCGTGGATATGAGCGTTTGTGCGTGTCGTAAAAATTGCTTTGATGTCTCCCTCTCGTTTTCAGCGCTATAGGAGTTCATCCGGAGTTTTATTCCTCTACAAGTTTGTTTTTCCTGTGTCGAATCTTATGTGATGGTTTGGCAAAAAAAAAAAAAAACGCTCTCTGAGCAATGCATCATCCCTTTAGAAGCTGAACGCTGTGCCAGGCAAGCTAAGTGTTTTGCTGCAGGCCATGAAGGCAAGAAACTTCTTTTTTTTTTGCTTGGTGAAATGAGCAAACCCAAAAGACACAGCATCAATTATTCACCCTCCCTCCTCCAGTCTGACATTCTGATTACGACTGGAGGTGGTTACAGGGTATCAGCAAGGTTGCAGAGTAGTCATGACAGGGGTTCAAACTCTAATATGTTCGCTGCCAAGAAATATGGGCCCGTATGATGCGTTAGCTGCCCGCAGGGCATCAGAATGAATGGTAATAATTCATCCTGAGAGAATGCAACCTATTTTTTGAGCCATTTCCCTTGACATAAAGACAAGGAAATTACTAGTCTCCCTATTTGGTAAAGACATTAATGGTAATTTTGTTTCCCTACTTAAATTAGACGGTGCTGGACTGATTACTGGGTGAAGCTGGATCTGGTTTGTGCACTTACTGTAAAGAACAGACAAACATACAGTGATAGACAAAAAGGGACACAGATACTGATACTTGAAAGAGGGTGTTGGCGTTCTTTTGGTTTGATTACAGTTGAGGAGGTTTGTCATTGTCTGCCAAAATACTCTCTGTCTGCCAAAACAAGCAGCACAAAACTCCAGAGGGCTGGGCTTGGAAAGACACCAGTTACTGTGTATCTGTGCTTTTGGGCAAACCCAACAGAGTCATCTTTGTTTTGTTGGTGCGCAACATAAAAATACCATTGTACGGTAGTCACAGCGTTGCCGAGGTCTTTGTGTAACGCCAGAATATGATCCGGTGCAACAGCTGTTTATGAAAGGCGGAGAGTGAGCTCACTGTGCAGCCAAGGTGGTGTTGATTGAGTTATATAAAATCTATTTGCAGCCATCAGTGACAATAGCAGCCTCGGGCAACGGTTGAGCTCATCTACCATCCTGCTGCGCACAGAGTCATATTTTTTTATTTTTTTGTTCCAAAGCTGGGCGAAACTTCCTGATGGCAAAACGGTAGAGCAGCGGGATCAGTCGGCTGCAAGTCTCTCCTTTGGTGTGGAAGTTGAACTGAAGTGTCGGTAGTCTTGGCAGTCCTGCAAAGAGAGAGGGGTGTGCTGTGAAAACTGGCATGTTGACGCTTTCATGCCACTGTCACGCTGTTCACAAGGTGCCCCGGAGGAGTGTCACAACGCATTCTTCTCACTTAGTAGAGCATGTCCCTGTCACACTCCGGGTTGCGGTAGTCAGACGGCATTCCTCTCCTGCCATCTGTCTCTGGTATTATAGTAGCATGCAGTAGTTATTCAGATTGCCTTGCTTTTATAAGACGTGCTGCTATGTGCTTAACTATGTCACGCTGAAGTCTGAATGCTGGATGTATGGGACTAATTAAGGGCAAATTCGTGTGGCCAAAACATGCTTCATTACTGCACTAAATATTTGCGCAGGAAAATGCAAGTAACCTGGAATCTTCCGCATTTAAAACGCATCACAGGTCACATGAGTTCACTTCTGCAACTCTCAAACGCTTAATGGGTCTTGTTGACACTGAGGCGACAGTAACAAGCTGCAACCCTCCTTGCCCAAGTTAAAGTACTAGAATGCACAAAGAGGAACTCCTTATATAGTCGTTTATGTGTCAAACGACTACCCAACAGTCTTCCCCAAACTGGCACTGGTCGGTGTGACAGCGTTATTAGTACAACATTTGTCATGTTGTGGTTTCCTAACCAGCTCCCCTCCCCAACCCCCACCCTCCTGCCTTCCAACAGTCTGAAGATGTCGAGAAGGCACCACATGGTATGCTGCACACAGCACATGGTTTTGGTTACAACAGGCTGTATCCTAGTTCCCCCACCCCCGAGCCTGTTTGCACAGCTCCTTCAAGGCCAAATCACGAGCACAAACAGGGTGAAAAGTACGAAAATCCTGCAAATTTTTACGCTGGGTTTTAAAATGCGGTCACACAAATGTGGTTCTCGTGCATCTTCAGATGCTTGCAAGCTCATGTGATTGCTGTTATGTGACTCACAGGAAGTGGGTAAAGGTGAGATTCAATTACCACACTATCATTATTTTCTGAATATAGCATGCTCTGATGATAATAGATAAATGAAAATGAAACCTATATAGACAAGTGTTCATTTTATGACATGCAGACTACCAAGGAACTGCACTGCAGTTTGCATGAGGCCAGTGTAGGCTTCATTTCGTTTCACTTGTAAAGGCATGGAGTTATTTTTATTTATGGTGCAATCCCTCACCGTGCAAATAAATTTTTTTTGTTGGGTGTGTTACAACTGCTGCAGCAGAATATTGGTTAGCTCCATACAGCCAAGATGAAAGTGAAGCATATATACAGCACCTAATTGCAATCAGGACTTAAAAGGCTGCAGCTCGGAGGAGATGGCGGAATATATGATGTGATGAGTGCATAAATCAGAGATAGAGAAAATGCATTATGCATAGTTCAGATAAAATGGACGTCATTTGTCTGCTTTCATTTGGAGTCCGGGCACTCGAGGCAATTTGACTGCAGTGTTTTTCCTCTTCAAAAGAGCTCCATTAGTTATTGGCAGAATAGCTGAGGACCGATAAAACACACTGACGTCCACCTTTACACCATGCTTTCTTGCCTCCACCACCCCATTACATTTCGGGGAACACTTCCTATTTCCGCACGAGCGCGGGTGTCTTCTGTGAGGCTTTTGGTCTTTAAAGTGAGCATTTGGGACTGTGAGCAAAGCGTTGAAAGGCTTTTTGGAAGGGAAAAAATACAATTTGATGTGTCACCTTGGAGATGGCAGTTGACAGCTGTTCCATGCACAAGCTGGGCTTAATTGGCGGGGAAATTAGCCTGACCTTGACTGTGGCGGCGGCGGCCGATGAGCTGCCGCTGCCTGCCACTTGAAATGACATTGTTGTAATTTTTGACAGCAGCGAGCAAAC